TTTTTTTTCTTTTTTTTTGAGACAGAGTCTCGCTGTGTCACCCAGGTTCGAGTGCAATGGTGTGATCTTGGTTCACTGCAACCTTCGCCTCCTGGGTTCAAATGATTCTCCCGCCTCAGCCTCTCAAGTAACTGGGATTACAGGCGCCTGCCACCAGGCCCAGCTAATTTTTGTATTTTTAGTATAGAGACAGGGTTTCACCATGTTGACCAGGCTAGTCTCAAACTCCTGACCTCTGGTGATTCACCCACCTCAGCCTCCCAAAGTGCCGGGATTACAGGCACGAGCCACTGCACCTGGCCACTTTGGTGGACTTTTCATGTCTCTTGTGCTTGGGATTTGTTGAACATCTTGGATATGTAGGTTTATAATTTTCATCAAATTTGGTGAAATTTCAATTATTGTTTCTTCAAAGTATTTTTTTTCTGTTCTCTTCCCCCCCAACCACCTCTGGGGACTCTCTATGTGTGTTAAGTTGTTTGAGGTTGTCCCAGAGTTCATTAATATTGTGCTACTTCTTTTTTTTTTAAATGTATTTTAGTTTTCCTTTGTTTGTTTCTTGTCTTCTGAAAACTCTAATCCTTTGTTAATCTCATCCATCTTGGTCAGAATTGGAGGCCTTCATTGCCATGAAAGTAAGCAGAAGAGAAAAACGCAAAAACGTAAGTTAATCTGGATCTTCTGGATATGGAAGACGATTTTAGTGGCTACAAAAATAAAGATAGAAACCACACAGGGAAAGCCTTCATAGATTCAAATATTTAAAATTTAAATTTCTATAACATCCTGAAAAGAGATCCTAAAAAGTTGCTTCGTGTGGTGGCACATGATTTTAGTCCCAGCCACTCAGGGGCTGAAGTGGGAGGGTTGCTGGAAGCCCAGGACTTTGAGACCATCCTGGGAAACATAATGACACCCCATCTCAAAACAGAAACAAACCAGCAAACAGAATAAGTAGCAAACAGCCAATGGTATTGGCCACATACATGACAGCAAGTTAATGTTCCTAACATAGAAAGTGAGAAAAACACTCAGTATTTATGCTCAGTATTTATGTGGGTGCATAGATAATACACCAAAGTGGAAATAAAAGTGACCAATATAAATTAGAAAGAAACTCCCATTACTATTCCAAAGAATTAAGCTACCATTTGCAGCTGGGCACGGTGGCTCATGCCTGTAATTCCAGCACTTTGGGAGGCTGAGGTGGGTGGATCACTTGAAGTTAGGAGTTCCAGACAAGCCTGGTCAACATGGTGAAACCCCATCTCTACATGGCTCATGCCTGTAATCTCAGCATTTTGGGAAGCTGACATGATAGGACTGCTTAAGCCCAGGAGTTCGAGACCAACCTGGGCAACATGGCAAAACCCAGTCTCTACAAAAAATACAAAACTTAGTCGGCTGTGGTAGCATGTGCCTGTGGTCCTAGCTACTTGGGAGGATGAGGTGGGAGGATCACCTGAGCCAGGGAGGCAGAAGTTACAGTAAGCAGAGATCATGCCACTGCACTCCAAACAGGGTGACGGAGTGAGACATTGTTTTAAAAAAATTTATTGCAAATGCAGCATGCAGAGGAGAAATGGGGGAAGGAGGGTGGTCAGAAATGTCTCTGAGGCAGTGCAGGCAGGAGGGATGATGGGGTGGAGAGCTGCTTCTGCCCTGGGGGGCACTGCTGCCATTTTACCAGGGCTTTGACTGGCTTCCTCCTGGCTGCTGGGTGGCTCTTGACCAAGCAGAGCTCAGAGACCACCATCTGGTGTGATCCATGAAGGGTCAAGGGGTCTATGGGACCTCATGGCTCACCATTCTTTTTTTTTTTTTTTTTTGAGACACAGTTTCACTCTGCCTCCCAGGCTGGAGTGCAGTAATGCAGTCTCGGCTCCCTGCAACCCCCACCTCCTGGGTTCAAGTGATTCTTGGCCCTCAGTCTCCGGAGTAGCTGGGATTACAGGCACGTGCCACCATGTCTTGCTAATTTTTGTATTTTTAGCAGAGCCAGGATTTCGCCATGTTGGCCAGGCTGGTTTCAAATTCTGACTTCAAGTGATCCACCTACCTCGGCCTCCCAAAGTGCTTGGGATTACAGGTGTGAGCCACTGTGCCTGGCCTGGCTCGCCATTCTGTAGACCCCTTGAACCTTTGTGGATCCCACCGGAGCTCTCTGCTCCCTCACCTGCTGGGGAAGTTAAAGCCACAGTGACCTCCAATTTTGACTGACAGCCAGCGATACCTGCCTACTGAGGGGCGGGGCTGAGGTTGGATGAGCTGTGAAGGCCCAGAGAGCCTGGGTGGGTGGCACTCGGGAATGGGAAAAAGAACCAGGACTGGCATCAGCATCCACATTGGAGGGCTTTGTTACCAATGAAGAACTAAGGCAGAGAGGCCGCCTCACTAGTCCAGAAAGTTTCTTGCTGTGGGGGACGAATCTGACTCCATGCCTGTGCTTACCCACAAAAGAGTAATAACAATGCCAGCAAAGCCGCGGAGTCTGGCCCTGCCTGCTCGGGAGGCTGCTGCTCACATCGTCGCAGCCACTCAGGGACCCTGCGCAGGGTGCCTCGGGCGCCTGGTACAGTGCTCAGGAATGCAGGAGGACCCCGGCTGCTGTTCCCGGCCTGCAGGAGTACTGGCTTGTGTTAAGAAAGGGCACCAGGCCACGCTCCGTGCTAAGATCTGCGGAAATGGAAGGAAACATCCTTAACTGCTTCAAAACCGAAAGATAGAAGAAATGTCGTTCTCCACTTCCCTTGAAATCAAATCTGTTAACTAGGAGTTTCCCAAACCCCAGTCCCAGGAATCTGGAGCCTAAACTTAGCTTATCCTTGGAAGGTCACCGGATTACCCTGGGGCAGGGTCAGCCAGCAGCTGCTCAAGATAAACTTGGCTTTTCTGCAGACTCAGGCTTTTCTCACACACAATTAATGAGATCCTGCCATACTTCCCCTGGGAAAGCGGAACAATGGCTGGGGGGTGAGCAGGTGGCCTTGGCCAGCACTCTGCCCCAAGGGCCTTTCGCCAGAGATCAGGGATTTGTGTCCCTGCCCAACCAGAACACCTCTGACCTCTACCTGCAGGCCCTGGACCACTGTGGCACTCTGGACATAAGGCCCTTCTGCCCCTTGGATGCCGAGCCCCTTCCCACCTCTGGAATCTTGCACTTGGCTATTGGTTCTGCTCTGCCTGGAACTTCTTCCCTGGATCCGTGTGAAATGTCACCTCCTCAGAGGGCTCTTCACCACTCTTTCCTACCCAGTTCTTGGTTGATGGGTTCCTCTCAGCTCCTCTGGACAGGAGTTTCCTGTGCTGCATACTCTGCCTAGAGACAGTGCCTGCCACACAGCAGGTGGGCAAACCCTCCATGAGTGGCAGGAAGGGTGGGTGCACCCTCATGCTGCTCCTGAGTCTGGTCTGGGTCACTCAGAGGCCAGGCTCCATCTGAGGTGGGTTTGTCTAGGGTAGTGTCAGCCCCTGTGGCCCTCTTAGGGCCTCTCTGCATTGGGACTGGTTCCACTGCAGCCTGGGGCCTCCACCAACACAGTGAGCTGGGGTTAGAAATCAGACTGTGAAAGGTGAAGCCCGAGACTCCTCTGCCACGTCTCTCAGATGCTGCGAGGCTGCTGCCAAAGAAACGTGAGCTTGCTGGGGCCACCCTAGGGTGCCAGCTAGGTGAAAAGAAAAACAGGCAGCCAGGTGAGGAGAGGGAGCCTTGGGCTGGCTGCAGCCCCAAGCTGGCTAGAGGGCGACAGGCAGCCTCCTGTGTGGAACGGACGCAAGAAGACAGCCGCACTGTTGAGGTTATTTCTGGATACTGGGCAGGAAAATCAACAAGCAAATGGACAGGTCCAGCAATGCTAGGGGATGGTGCAGCAAGGTGTTCCTGGAAGTGACCTCAGCAACACAACTTGGAAGATAAGCAGACCCACACTGCAGGCAGAAGAGGCTCACAGGCAGGTGAGTCTGCTGGAGTAGTGTGTGCTCAGGGCCACGCCAAGCCTGGTGGCTGCACTGGCCAGTCCTTGAGCATGCAGGTACACATCAATCTGGGCTGTTCTGGGAGTTGGCTCATGGTCCATAGGCAGTGTGAGCCATGGAGGGTCTTAGGTAGGGTGAGGCCCAGGAGAGGGGCCTGCCAGGGTGGCCTAGCTGGGCAAGGGCAGGTCCCTGATGAAGGCCAAAGCGGTCATCCTAGGAAGATGGTGGCATGCAAGGGCTGGGAGTGGGCAGTAAGAGTGAGAGGATGGGTGGGTCAGCTGGGCCCCTGGAATGGACAGAGGAGGAGATTGCAGAGGAAGGGGCGTGGCCCATGGGTCTGCAGCAGGAGGACAGCAGCGATTGAAGTGATAGCTGGGAGAAGGCGGTGGTCCTCGGAGCCATATCTGGTAGAGAGAGGCCACATGGGGCTGAGCTAAGAGGGTAGGATTTCTCTCCAGCCGCAGAGCCGGGCACACTAGCCTTCAGAGCCTCCCCACACTGGGCGAGCCAGGCCCCGGCGCTGGCCTTGTCTCATTCACTGTCTCAGAACCACCTGAAGAGGGAGAAGGGAGCCCGGCCCTAGGAGGGAGAGAGTCCTCAAAGCCCCCACATCTGTGACCAGCCTCAGTGCCATACTTTTTCTATGGGGATCCTGTTCAATGAACTGAGCACGGACCAGATAAAAGAACTGGGCACCCAGTGGCCTCAGGCCAGGGCCTGGAGTCCAAACTTTACTGGAAACAAAGGAGCCGACAGAGATTGGGGAGGTAACTGCCAGAAAGGAGCGGGTACCCCCATGGGGCTGTGGATTTTGGAGCCTGTGCCCCCACCTGAGCCTCAGGGGGCCCGGAGTGTCCACCCCGGTGGACCTTTCGAGAAATGGCTGAGCCATTGTGCAGAAGAATGCCCGGAAATCCCGCGCCTCCCTCCTCCAGCAAGGATGGGGGCTCTTCCTCCTGGCCAGGAAACTCCAAGTTGGCTTCCGGAGGCTGGCCTGGGGGCTGGGGTGCCAGGGACACCATCGCCACTGGTGGGAGGGCAGGGCACAGCCCCTCTGTGTCCCTTTGTCTCTCCTGTCTGAAGGCCAGAGCAGGCTGCTAGGCCTGGGGCCACCACTGCCCCGGGGTGCACACCCAGTGTGCTGGGTCACTGGGACTTCCTGAAGTGGTGTCACCTCAACGGGGCTCCCAAGGATGGGGTGCGGGCAATACTGCAGGAAGAGGAGCAGCCCCAGTGAAGACTGAGAGGTCTGGGACGCCCCTGCGGCTTGGGAGAGTTGGGGGGATCCCCAGGCAGGGAAAAGCCCCTATTGCCACCACTTTGTGCCAGAGACTCAGGCTCCAGAGAGGCAGAGAGTGGTGTCGGGGGTGAGGCTGGGGCTCTGGGCCTGACCTCCACATGACTGCCTGGCGTCTGTTTGCCATGGGGTGGGAGAGACAGTGCCGGGACTCGGAGCGGGGCTGGGAGAGAGAGAGTGCTGGAAAGGGCCTGGGTGGGGCTTGGACTCTGGCGCGGGCTTTCTGGAGAGCCCCCTACGCAGGCCTCTTCAGCAGTGATGGGGTGGGGGCGCTCCTGCAAACCTTGGTCAGTGAGCGGAGCGGGCCCGGGTGGAAGAGACACTGGGCTCAGTCAGGGATGTGGGGGTGAACGCGGTGGTGCGGGCTGGGGGTCAAGTGCCTTCTGAAGTGACGGGGCCGGGACACGCAGGGAGGCGGCCCAGAAGGCGCGCCACAGAATGCGCTCGGCCGCGACTAGGACAACACGGGGGGTGGGGGCGGCGGCCGGGCGGGGAGCTGTCCCGCGCCCTCGGCTACCCCCAAACGCCGTTGTTTCCCTAACTTCAGCTGCCAGGGGCTCTGTGATTGGCTGCCGGACGACGGCCTGCACACGGATTCGCTGCTTCGGGCCGGGGGGCCGGGCCCGGGGGACAGAATCCGCCCCCGAACCTTCAAAGAGGGTACCTCCCGGCCGGAGCCGGCAGACCGAGGAGGTGCGACAGACCCGCGGGGCAAACGGGCTGGGGCCGGGAGCCGGGAGTGCGGGCGTAAAGGCACCAGGGCCCGCCCAGGGCGCCGTGCCACAAGGCCTGGGGGATTCTGGGGACCGTCGGGCGCGCGTCTCGCCTCTAGCCATGGGGTCGGCAGCTTTGGAGATCCTGGGCCTGGTGCTGTGCCTGGTGGGCTGGGGGGGTCTGATCCTGGCGTGTGGGCTGCCCATGTGGCAGGTGACCGCCTTCCTGGACCACAACATCGTGACGGCGCAGACCACCTGGAAGGGGCTGTGGATGTCGTGCGTGGTGCAGAGCACGGGGCACATGCAGTGCAAGGTGTACGACTCGGTGCTAGCTCTGAGCACTGAGGTGCAGGCGGCGCGGGCACTCACCGTGGGCGCCGTGCTGCTGGCGTTCGTTGCGCTCTTCGTGACCCTGGCGGGCGCGCAGTGTACCACCTGCGTGGCCCCAGGCCCGGCCAAGGCGCGTGTGGCGCTCACGGGCGGCGTGCTCTACCTGCTCTGTGGGCTGCTGGCGCTCGTGCCGCTCTGCTGGTTCGCCAACATTGTCGTCCGCGAATTCTACGACCCGACTGTGCCCGTGTCGCAGAAGTACGAGCTGGGTGCAGCGTTGTACATCGGCTGGGCAGCCACTGCGCTGCTCATGCTAGGAGGCGGCCTCTTGTGTTGCGGCGCCTGGGTCTGCACGGGCCGTCCTGACTTCAGCTTCCCTGTGAAGTATTCAGCGCCGCGGCGGCCCACGGCTACCGGCGATTACGACAAGAAGAATTACGTCTGAGGGCACCAGGCATGGCGGGGCCCTCCTGCCAGCCACGCCTGCGATGCACTGGATGAGCCTGGGGAGCCCCGCAGGGACCACGGCTTCTGCTGGGTCGCACCTCGCGCAGGCTCCGCGGAGCGTCCGGCTCTGCACCCAGACGCGGCTCCTGGCCTGCCTGCGCCCGCAGCCGGCCCTCTTCTGCCACCAGCCGGGCCCTACCTTGAACAGATGGACTTGGACAGTTTCCTTTTCTGTTTGCGGCGCTGTCTCCACGGGCAGAGCCGGTGTCAGACTGAGGATGCCACTTTCCCCTGAAGATGCTGGGGTTCTTGGCTGCTGCCTTACTTTCTAGAGGCTCCTGCTGACTTCGGAGGGGCGGATGGAGAGCCCAGGCCCCCACCAGAGATTTGTACAGCTGGTCTTTACCCCATTGGCGGGGCCTGAGGCCAGGGACCAGTGACTTGGCCAGGACCTCCCAGTCTCACTCCAGCATCTCCCCAGGCAAGGCTTGCGGGCACCGGAGTTGGAGAGCGGGTGGGAGTGGGAAGGCTAAGAATCTGCTTAGTAAATGATTTGAACTCTCTCCTACCTGTGTCTTGTTCTCTGTCCAGCCATCTTCCATGTCGAGCAGCCCCATTCATCACCCACTGCCCCGCCCTCCCAGGGACTCTCGTGGAGACCTCCTCCCAGGGCTGGCGGCTGGGGCCCTTATTCCCATCCTCCCTGCCACCTTCCCACCAGGTAGGAGACACAGCCACCACTTACTACAGCCAAGAAAGGTGAGATCTGCAGTCAGAAGAGCCACTGCTGCGTCAGGGGGCCTGGGATGGGACAGGGGTGGGAGCAGTGGCAGACCCCAGCAGAAAATGCAGGGCGAAGCACCCTCAACACAGGATGGTGAGTGGGGGTCCTGTGATGGGAGAAGTGCTACAGATGAGCAGCTAGGCCGCTGGCTTCTCCCAGACAGGGCCGCGCTCCATTCAGCGCAGGGTGGGGTTTTCCACTGTGCTCTCAGGGCTTGCCTGGTCGCAGGTCCCATCGAGTAGTCACAGAGGTCTGTCGAACCCCGACCAGGCCCTTTCCAATGATGGGTGGGGCAGGAACAGGGATGAATGCAGGATGCGCTGGACAACAGTGGCGTTGCCATGGGAGGAAGTGCTGGCAGCTGGCTGCCTGGAGTGCACTGCTTGGCTTCAGCCCCTCGTCCCGACTCCTCTGCCAGTCCCAGCATAGCTCCCTACAGAGCCTGTGCCCACTCTAGTGGCCTGGCAGCCTGCTCAGACTGGTACTGACCACTAGCACCTGTGCTAGCCCCTGCTGGGGGCACCCTGGGTAACCTTCCTCCGGGAGCTGCATGGCCTGGGAGTCAGTGCTAGCCCCTGCCAGGCACCATTGGGGTGTGGGTGGGGTGTCCAGAGCCATCTAGCATAGCCATTGAGAGCTCAGTGTTTTTAGCCTTGTTCTAGGCACTTTGAATTAATACATTTTTAACTTTTGACATAAAGCTAGCAGCAGAAGAGAACAGCTGATGAAGGGGGCATGCTACAGGAAGGAGCTCTAAGCCCAGCCAGCAGGAAGACTCGGCATCTTCCCCAACCTGGCCTTGGGGGGCCTGCCCAGAAATGACTAGGTCACATTTAGTAGCAGGGAGTCTCCCAGGTCTGGCCAGGCTACCATCATGGGGCAGTGGGAGAACCCCAAGAATGTGGGCTCAGAGGTGCTTAGGACAGCCGCTGGAATGTGTGGCAGTTTCCTGGGAGCTGCCGTGGAACCAGCAGGTGGGATGAGCTACAGGCAGAGGGGCACCACAGTGCAGAGGTCCTCAGCAGGCCTGATGTGTGCCCCACCTGGGCCTGTATAGCAGGGACCAAGAACAGTCCCCAAGCTTGGCAGTGTATGATCCCAGAGCTGTGGCCATGGACAGAAACGGAAACTCTACATTATTGCACCTGGTCAGTGGGGCTGGTGCGTTTGGTCAGAAGCTGAAGCCCAAGGCTGCCCAGGAGGGCTGTATCCTATGCAAGCCCTTTTCTAAGAAAGTAAGAACAAAGAAAGGTGGCTGCACAGCCTCTGAACTTTCCCAAATGGCCTGTATGGGCAGCTCAAAGGCCCTGGGAGCTGTGAAAACCATCAGAGGCGAGGGGAGGGGCCTGGCCTCCAGTCCAGCTCTGACCCTTTTGTGCCCACTGCCTTTTGCTGAGGCCTGCACCAAGACCAGACCCACCCACCTGTGTGCAATTTTCCAGGCCACTCTGAGCTTTTCACCACCGACTTAAAACCTAACCAAATCACTCTTGCCCTCAAAGACCCTACCCAGCGCAGCTGCTGGCCCAGTAGCCTCATGCCTCACACAGGTGACCTCCCCAGCCTGCCTGCTGCTTCAGCACCTGTGTCCCCAGGTGACAGGGTGAGATGGCCCCAGTCAATGAATAGTTCTCCCCACCAGGAAGGGCAGAAACCTCATTCCCTTCCCACCCCCAACACTCAGTGATGTTCTGGGGAATGTCTGCACAGGGTGGGACGAGCTAATTCCATGACTTCCCCTGACTGGGAAGCCCTCACTGCTCTGAAGGCCATGGAGGTCACTAAGGTCCTGTCCAGGTGGGACTTCCTGTGACCAGAGGCCTTAGGGGGCACAGTGTCTCCATCCATGCACCCCAGCCAACTGGGCCTTCCCCTTGCTACCCTCCTCTGTGGTGCCGTGTGCCCACTGTGTGGCTGCAGGGGTACCTGAATGAGTGCTGGACAGTGACACGAGGTGGGGGTGGGGGTAACCACGGGTGGAGGAATGGCTGAGAGAGTAGACTTGCTATGTGGCTGAGGCCAGGTGGGCAGGAGAAAGTAGTAGGTGAACAAAGCCAGGTACGGCTGGCACCACTGGGCAGTGGCCAGTTCAGGTGCTCTCAGGAGGCGGGGTGCTGAGGGGTCCTGATCTCTGCCCACTGCCACATGGAGGACCTGGAGGACAGAGTGAGGAGATCTTGTCCTTGGGGCCAATCCCCATGCTAATTTCCTGCCAGGTGCTGAGGGCACCGGGGGCCCAGGACCAGGGCTCCCTGGAACCACAGAAGGCTCAGGGCACACCCAAGCACTGGCCTCGAGACCTGAATCACGATTGGAATGAAGCCTAAAATAAACATTTTATTTAATAAAAAATGGCCTCTGCATCTTAAATCACATCCATAACTTACAATCTAAATGAAACCAGGTATATAAATAAGAAGAAGGTTATTCCTGAAGAAATCAAATTCTAGAAAAGAAAACAAGACAAAACAAGTTTCAAACAATGTTGATGTGTCACCAAATCAAACGAATTGCCCAGGCCTTCCCTCTGGGTAGTGCTTCTGAGTAGCCGGGACTACTCGTGAGGGCCAGGCCAACCCAGACTGAGAGGCCCCCGCTGTCCTCACAGCACCCCTTGCCTGAGCTGAGCTATCCTACATCACAGCTCCTGCCTGCTGGCCTGGGCACCTTCTCACCTCATGGACCCCACCCAGATGCTCAGCTGGACTCCTGGCTCCCTCCCATGGGGTCCCTCCCTCCATCCCTCGGCACTGCTGCTCAGCCCTCCTGGCCCAGGCCACCTGTACTCCTGCCTCAGTGGCAGGACACACAACAGCTTAATGTTGTCACCAAGCAGGCTGCAGGGGAGAGGTCTGCTGCCAGTGCCCACTCTGCTGCTGGAGACACGCCAAGCCTGATCAGGTGGCTGGCCCAAAGTCACTGCTGATAAGCCTACAGAACTTGCCCAAAACCCTGAGGGTCTGACCCAGAGCCCCCCCCCCCAGCATGGGCCCCGTGTAGCCCAGGTCACCCTGAGAGGGACTCTGGGGTCCCTGAGGCCCCTATGCTGTTCCCAGCAGAACCCCTCACTCCAGCCCCAGCAGGAGAACAGGCGCTTGCCCCTGGACGAATGGGCGGATGGAGAGTGGGGAGGATCCCAGGCCTGGCCCGAGGGACCTCCTGCAACAGAGCTGTGGCAGGGCCCATCTGCCACAGCTGCAGCCTCCAGGCTAGGGCTCAGGAAGATGCAGGGCTGGATGTGGCATTCCCTGTGGGGACTCTGGGTTGAGAGACGGTCACAAAGACATAGGGCACACCTACTTCCCAGGAACCCTTAAGAAAGAGGTAGCACATGGGGCAGTGGGAAGTGTCCCGGGTCAGCGGCCTGCCAGTGACTCCCAATGGGGCCCTCAGGACAGCTGTGTGCTGGTGAAGGTCCCAGCAGAACCGGCACTCTGGAATTCCCAGCTGAGCGGCTGCCAACACTTTGCTTTCTCATAAGCCAAACACACAAAAGCTCAGATGCCTGCTCTGCGGGATCTTGCCCAGGGCCTGACCCAAAGGCTGACAGGAGGCTCCAGGGGCCTCTGAGGGCAGCACCAGGGAGTCTTCGTGTGACATGTGTCACACGCAATGCCCAGCCTCAGAGTGCGGTCAGCAGAAGGTGAATACCACCAGCTCTTTCTGAAGGATTCGCAAGGACTTAATGAAATTAGCTGCCTCAAAATGCCCCACTGTGGCCCTGCTGGCAGCCTAGGGACAGATGTACTTGGGAAAAATGTGTTGGCCCCAATCTTCTCAGGACCCCTATTCCGGTCTGAAATCCAAGTGAAAGCCTCTGTTGAGGGACAGAGCAGGGCATCACAGTCAGGCTCTGAGGAGCGGGGCCGCTGCTTCCATCCCTGCAGAACCCCCAACTCACCCTAGGACAGGAGGGAAACAAGTGCATCCAGGAACTTGCTCCGATCCTCAGCTTTCAGCTCAATTACTGAAGTAATGAAAGAAAAACAGTCGTGAGAAGGGAGGAGCGGGGACACAAGACAGGGCACAGAACTCCCCCAGCCTGCCCTCCACTCTGGAGCAGGCCTCCACCACATTCCAAAGCGCGTGGTTACTCCAGGCCTGGGGGAATCTGCACTCAGTGGTTGTATGTCTGTCTCGCTGTACTTCATCTTCAGAACTGCTGTTTGCACTGCTAGAGAGACCAGGGCTGGGGCCTGCAGGGAGAACCCTGCTCCAGGAAGCCAACAGAGGGGATACATGGAGGGACCCTATAGACCTGGACGAAGACGGGCCTGCCCACCCTGCCTGGCATGGACCCCTGTCCCGAGTGGGTTGTGGAAGGCCTTGGGTCGGGGAGGCCACCACAGGGCAAACTGCTCATATCTTGCAAGGCCCTCAGGCTCAGCCGAGCACACAGACCCTCACCGCAAAGCAAAACCAGGCCCCAGGATGGGGATGGCCCGGCCCTGGGAGCCATCTATGCCACCAGCCACAGCCCCGAGAACCCCAGGCCCAGCCCCTGCAGGTGGGCACTGGCCATGGCCCACTCTGGCTCTCCACCCTCAGAAGAACCAGGCAGCTCCCAGCCTAAATCCTCCCTGTATACTGAAGGCCAGATATTCTGCAGGCCCGTGGCCATCCTCCAGATCTCCCCATCACAGACACAGAACAGTTAGCAGGGTCTGCTGTGCAGGGTAAACCAATGCCACACAGTGCCACAGTCATGGCTGGGTCTGGCTCAAGGAAGGCAGCTCTGAGATGGCTGAGGCCACGTGAACAAAGGCTGGGTCTCCCATGGCA